TGCACCCAGGTGAAATAAACAGCCATGTTGCTCACACAAAGCCCGTTTGATGGTCTGTTCACATGGACGCGCATGACAGATCCTTTCTACAAAGTTGTCCTTGCAAACCCTAGAGAATGAGACTGGGAAAAAGAGAACTAAAACAATGTATTAAAAGCTTGTAAAAATGAGTGGGAAAATCCCTATAATTAAATAGGATATATAGGCAAAGAATCCGAACAATTAACATTTAAAAGGGTAATTTTAAATGGATAATAAATAGGAAAAAAATACTTCAATCTCACTAGCATTAAAAAGCTCATTAAACAAAAAAAATTGTGGGCAATTTGACAATTTAAAAATTATGCTATTCAATGCTGGTGAGGCATAATGAGTCAGACACTCACATTCTGTATGAGGACTTGGAAATGGGTTCAGTCCTTCTGGAAAGCTATTTGGCAAAATGTCTCAGAAACCTTAGTTCATATTCCTTGACACAGCAATTCTCAACTTCTAGGAAATATTTCATAATGTCAACAAAATACATTTGTATAACAATTTTTACCTCAGCATTGTTTTTAATAATGAAAATTGAGCCTCATAAATAATAATAGAGGAAACATTAATAAAATTCTTTCTAAATTATATTTATGAGGAATTTTAATAATGGGGATATTTTTGTGATAAAGACTAAATAAACATATGATTTTTAAATTGTATACATGTCAAAATCTCCATTATGTAAAATGTACACAGACAAAAACAAAAAGGAAACACACCAAAAAGTTAATAGTATAATAGTACTTCTCTGAGTCTGTTGGGGTTTTTTTTCTTTAAATTTTTTGCATGCATTCATCATGGTAAAAATGCATTAATTTAAAAATCAGAGAAAAAATATGCTTTAAGATAGTGATATTTCACTTTTTAAAATCTCAACAAGAAGAACTTTTACCTCATGGAACTCTATATTGCTTTAAAATGCTGAATGTTTTACTCTATTGAACAGCGAAGTTTCAAAGTAGAAGCAAAAGTTTCAAAGTAGAAGCAAACTCTACCTCCACAGAGGTGAAAAGAAACATGAAACCCTCCTTCTTCCCCTCCGCCCCTTTTCCATTCCCAGTGGACTCCTCTCTTCCTGCTCACTCCCTGGCTCTGATGCCCTCACTTTGCACCACAACATGTTGTTTCTCTCTTGTTTCTTGGTAAATATCAGGTTCCTTTCAAAGTAACTCAGCAAACATTCACCTCCCCACTCCTCAATGCCGGCTCCCAGCCAGACACTAGCAAGTTTTACCTAACGCGGGGCTTCCTACTTCCTGGGCTCTGCCTGGGGCTCCCAAACTAAGGGAGGAGCCCATCACAGGACACCACTGACAAAGGCCCTGCGCTCATCTCCTCCATAGCCCCCTGGACACCTGTCAGTTTGAATGCCTCTTCCAGGCATTCACTGGCCTGACCAGGCCACTATCATTTTGCTGTCAGAGGGATTCCTAACAGCTCCTCTACCTCCTGCTCACTAAGCTGTATTCCATCTCCACCCTCTAGCTGGAGCCATATTTCTTTTCATTTCTTTTTTAGAAGGGTTTTGCTATGTTTCCCAGGTCAGATTCAAACTTCTGGGCTCAAACGATCCTCCCCCCTCAGCCTCCAAGTAGCTGGGATTACAGGCGTGAGCCACCACTCCTCGGCTTAGAGCCATCTTTCTAAAATGGAATCTGAAGACATACTTACCCTGCTTAAAATCCCTCAACACCCCTCACCTCCACCGCCTTCTCTACCACTGCCGCTTTTAAGACAGATTCTAAACGATTTAACTTGGCTGTGTAGCCCTTCCTAGCCTCTCCAACCTCATATTACTTCTCATGTATTTATATATTTTTATATATATATACACACACACACAGACACACACACACATTTTGGAGACAGAGTCTCTCTGTCACCCAGGCTGAAGAGCAGTGGCACAATCTCAGCTCACTGCAACCTCTGCCTCTGGAGTTCGAGCAATTCTCCTGCCTCACCCTCCCAAGTAGCTGGGATTACAGGCACCTGCCACCAGCTAATTTTTGTATTTTTAGTAGATGGGGTTTCACCATGTTGGCCAAGCTGGTCTCAAACTCCTGACCTCAAGTGATCCACCCACCTCGGCCTCCCAAGGTGCTGGGATTATAGGCGTGAGTCACTGCGCCTGGCCCCTCATCTATTCATATATTTATTTACTCCATGAGTTTGGGTGGAGCACTTTCTATGTGTCAGGCACTGGGCTGGGTGCAAGGGGTAGAGCTCTGAAAGAGATGCACCCTGTTGGCATGGAAGCCAGTCTTCACTGCAGCTCTTTCTGTCCTTGTTACTCCAAGTGTGATCTGTTTCTTGTTGCTATCTGGAATTGCAGCATCGGCATCACCTGGAAGCAGAACCGCAGATCCTTTGCTAGACCCTTGGCATAGAAATACACATTTCCATTCACTGGTGAGTTCTTATGCATGTCAAAGTTGAAGAAGCATGGGTTTGTGTCTCTTGAACCCTCAGTTCTGTCTCTCTGCTGCAGCCCTCTTCACATGCATTCAGCCTGGGATACTCTTGGCCCTGATCTTTGTCTAACTCCCCTCTATCCTTCCAGTTTCTGCATGGCACTTAATGTCTGTTAGGAAGACTTCCTTCCCTGACCCCCTAAGTTGGAGTTGTGAGCCACCTATGTGGTGTCACCATCAAAGCACTTACGGCTCTGTTCCGTGGATGCTGCCCCTTCCCCTACAGATGCTGTAAGAGCAGACATTGTGTCTGTCTCTTCATATTTGCATCCCTAGCAGCGAGCCTACTGTCTGCCATAGGGTTGTAGGTCAATAAAAAGCTATTGGAAAAAACACATACACAGAGAGAGAATCCAGTGCAACTGTATAATTTCCAGGCTTAACAAATAAGTTAAAGGTTCTTAATTCCTCAAGAGAGGGTGGGATTTGGAGGTAGTGGGCAGGTCCTAGGAAGAAAACATTATCTTCATCATTTCCTTAGTTTCATGGTTCATGTTGTATGTACAAGTTTAGCTTTGTCCAGAGCCCCTGCTGTCCCACTAGGCATCTTTGTGTGAATTAGAAAGAGAAACTCCTTCCTCAGCACAGATGCAATTCCAGACCATGGTCCATGGAGAACTAAGCAAGGAAATCACAAGTTGATTTCCACTTCCCCCTAAGAGGGTATAGCCTGCATGACCTTATGTGTTAGCCCTGCCTTGTACCCACAATAAAACTGAGAATGGCCATGGAGCAAACAGTGGAAACTAGCCCTGGTGCTACATGACCTCGGATGAGGAATTAACTTTCAGTTGTGCCTATTTCACAGCGCTTAAAGAATCCACATTTTAAAATACAGTCATGCCTTACACAAAGTTTATTTTCTAAAGGTAAAAGCTAGGGTGAAAATTGTATATGATCGTAATTACTCTTGAAAATGCTTTAATATCACCCATAAAGTACAGCCTGATGCCCAGGTTGATATGCCACTTTGGAGACTATCAATAAACCTACCACAAACTTCAGGAAGGGAAGAAATGCTGATTCTTTGGTCGGCCATCATTTGATCTAGTTGGTTTACCTGGGTAGTTCATGTCTACCTAAAGGACAGAACTTCAAATATCAGAATCAATCACTTTCAGCATAGTGAGATACTCATAATACAGGATCTTTAGCCTCAGAGACAGCTAGGAGAAGACAGATTGCCCTGTCACATCTCAGACTCACTCTGGGGCATATGCTCACTGAAACCAATGGCAAGTGAATCATTAGTGCTGCCAAAGTGGTAAACTTTTAACTTATTCCATTAGCTTATGACACATGTGCAGAACATGTCTTTCCGCTGTTGGTATGCTTCTGGTAAGAGCTGTTGCTTTGAGTTGAGTCGTGTTCCCCCATAGTGGAAACACTGGCATACAGCCCTTCACAGTCTTTCCCTTCGTTCCTTTCCTAGCTAATAGTGGGGTGGGAACTAGATCTGCCAGCAGAGGGAGTGAATTGGAGCAAGGCAACAACTCCAGTGTGAAAGCTTTGGTAACAACCCTCTCGGGCTTGTGGATGGCCAGTGCTAATCTCTCAGACCAGTATCGGCACAGACTACCAAGCAAACAGTAATCTCAGTCACCTACTCCAATACCCCAGACCTGAAAAAAGTCCCAGCTGCTCCCAGATAAAAACAACACATGCCCTTTACTTTCCAGGGCAAAACATATCACTCAAACCTAAATGCCACCAAATTAAACAGTTATCCTCATGTGCCATAAGGACCACCCCAAAATTGTTCAATTGAATCAATTTCCTACCAGTCAATCCTACATATAAGGAACAGGACTTCTTACAAAACTAGTGTTTTTAAAAAACAGAAACAAACCACTATTAACACCCATGCAGCCTTGCTAGGCCCATATACCCTACTTTCCCTACTTCTAATACAGCTAATCTCCCAACAGGAAACCTCCTAAGGGAAGAGCAAGTTTTATACTTCTGTATGGCTATTGACCTAAAACCTCATTAACATACTTTGTGGAAGTAATTGTAGCCACAAACAAATACAAATTAACAATGTATTGCTCTTAATACTGGGGACAAACTTTTATTTAGAAGCTCTTAATTAGGCACCCACTAATGTGCTAAGTGCTATGGAAGACAGATACAAAGATGAACTGGACAGAATTTCTGTCCCATCTTGTCCCTCCCTTTTTAAAAAGTCTACAAGCGCCTTAAGCTAGCAACTCACCATATGTAAACCAGTAGGAAAAAACACTAACTCTTAGCAACAACAACATAGATGAAGAAGTCTTAATTAGTGACAAGAACCTCATCAAATGTTCCTGTGAGAAACAGTGTAACTGATCAATCTGTATCATTCATCCCAACATACACAATGGCTTCAAGTAACAGCATTTACCTGATGTGAGAGAAGAAAAACCAAGACAGCAACAGAGGAAGAGGAGATGTTTTACTATTTCAAACACATAAAAAGGTATAGTTCAGAATGGTCTCAATACTCACTGTTCTTCTTGTACATTAAAATTTCAAAGGAATTCATCTCATAGTTCTCAAATGTTTGCCGCACTTTTTCAATTGTATCTTTATCAGTCAGCTCCCCATACATAAAACTGCAAACAACCAAAGAACTGAAGTTAGATTAACAAGTATTCATTATTCTACAACCATATGTTAAATATCTGTTCTATATTCAGCACTGTGCTATGTACTGTGGAACACACACACACACACACAATGAAAACATTAACTAACTCAAAAAAATTTACTGATTCAACTCTGAATAAGACTTTTTCATTGCCTCCAAAAAACTAACAGTCTAATGAGAGATACACACCATAAAACAGTACATCAGAAAACAGTGGATTAGAGAACAGTGTGATCACTGCCACAATGGCAAGCACACATAATGAATTACAGAACACACAGAATAGGCACAGTGCACTCCCTGGTTGATCAGAGAATGCTTCCCAGAAGTAAGGACAATTAGGTCTAAGGGCAGGAAGGAGGGGAAATGGCTGAGAGAAAGAAGGAGAAAAACATTCCAAACAAAAGACAAGCAACTGCAAAGGCACAGAGGTGACAGTCAGATTACTTCCAGACCCTGATTATAGTTCATTTCAGTATGATTGAAATATAGACAATGAGAGGGAAGTTTGCAACAGATAATATAGAGAAGTAAACAGAGGCAAGATCATGGAGGAGACCACGGCATTATAAGCCATGGGAAGTAATTTAATCTTTATCTTGAAAGCAATGGGAGCACACGGGAGGGTTTTAAGCAAAGGAGAAACATAATCAGATTTCATTTTAGAAATACAACTCTGGGAGACTTCCTGGTAAAGATGGCTGGGTAAGTTTAGACCATAGATTTTTTTCCTTTTCTAGTTCTCAGCAAAATAAATTCATTTATTTAAATGTACATGTAATGTGTTAGAGAAAACCTCAGAAGAGTAGAAGGTCTACCTACTAACACTAGTTCTCACCAGAAGCAAGAAAATCGCCAGGACTGTCTATTTACCTGGGCCCCACACTGAATCTGGTCTAAAAATTATGGTTTGTCCCTCTGGGAACAGTATATACTTCCAGTTAAGTGGAATAAATAATGGCACAGGAGACTAACAAAATGCCAGAGGAGGGGGGAAAAAACATCTTTCAATGGGGCTGGAATGTCCAGTTCTCTGACAAAGGCTGCCCATGGGCCCAGCAAGCATTTCCCCTGCCCACCCCAGGCCTGCAGACTGCAATAACAAGAAAGAGCAGCAATGATCACTCCTCAAGTCAGGTAATGCACAAACTGGCATGGGTTCCTGAATGTTACTGTAAAGTCAATATAATCTAACCTTTTTTGATGACTTGAATCACAGAAACATAGAGTTTCAGAGCTACAAAGAACCTCAGAGGTTATCAAGTGCAATTTCTGATCTAAAACTGAACCACCAAGTCAAGCACTATGCTTAGCTTGATACTGGAACAACCCTGGGCTTACTACAGGCTTCCAAATTCTGGCACCCAATAAGAAAAGAGTCCTAAATGTTGATTTTGTGAATTCTGTGTCACAGTTGTTATTTTATGTCCCTTCCCAGTCCTCTGAGGAATGTGGTTATCTGTGGTTGTCCTTATGCACTCTGCTTTGGGGTTGTACTCTTTGTCTGTAAGCCAGGAAATGGAAAACTGAGCTTGTTGAATTATCTCTAGAAAGAAGAATAGATCAAGACTAATTGAGCCCTGCCTAAGAATAAGAGGATTTTTCCTCTTTCTCTTTGTGAGTTAATTTTCTGTATAAGTGACCTCCATTTAAATGAAGTGATAGTATATATGCTAGCAATTTCCTTAACAAGGTAAAAGAAATCTCTGTAAAGTTGAATCTTCAAATAAATGAAGTGCCATAATTACACCCAGTTTTCATTCGTCTTATGTACTTTTTCAAGCTGTAGATTACCAGTAGTTCTAAGTATCCTTTACCTGGATCTTAGATTGCAAATGCTTACAATGCACAAAATAAGTAAAAGAGACTCCTGAGCTATCAGGAACATAGCTAGCACAAAGGTATGTTTATTTATAGAGAAGGGATACCTTCGGGTAATTCAATAAGTTGCTGAGAACTGTGCATAAAAAAAAAAGCTGGCTAAATTAGCAAGTTATTTTATCTGATTTCCTTAAAGTGTCTGATTATAGCCAATAAGAAGAAAGGTAAGGAAAGGCTGTTCAAGTCCCACTAAAAAGTGAAGCTACGTCTCTGAAATTGTTCTGATTATATATGTGCAGTACAGATAGAGATATAGATGCAGATAAACAGATCTATAAATACTTTAGAGGATAACAGCACACAAAGAATATAAGATAATTCTATTATATTAAGAATTATAATTTCTAAACCCTTGAACAGTCAGGGGGAAAAATCTCCAATTTTCCATTTCTCAGTCCCCAAAATCTAAGATTTAAGAAAGTGGAAATATTTTCAAAACATTTGATACTTCCTTCTTATGAGCTCAGACATTTATTTTATTTTAGAAGACTGTTTTATTTTAAAATAATGTAAAGTGACATGGCTGACTTAGCAAGTAAAAATGCAACTTCTGAAAACAGAAGACTATGCTTGGTCAGACAGGTTTCTCCACTCTTCATAGATGAGTTTGTTTCTTCATTTAGCGTGAATGATTCCACTTCATGCAAACACCACTGAAGACAGAAGACGAAGAAGGCAGAGACTGAGAGGAGCCAAAAGGCTATGGTGGGCCAAGACCTTGCCAGGGCACAGCAGGGGAATGTCTGGCAGGATTCAGGCTGTATGTCTGGTTCAACACCTGGAAGATGCTTTAAAAGAGCTTTTCTAACACCACGGCCCAAGGACACTGCTTGGTTAGAAACCCTGTAAAAATATACCAGCTTCACTGTTAGTACAATTTGCTAAGAGTTCAGAGAGAGAGAGAGGTAACAACATGAATTAGAAGGCAACAAAATATTGGTTCTCTCATCTTTTTCTGAAGTAAAAAAATCTGGCTGAGGCCAGGTGTGGGGGCTCATGCCTATAATCCAGCACTTTGGGAGGCCAAGGCGGGCAGATCACCTAAGGTCAGGAGTTCGAGACCAGCCTGGCCAACATGGTGAAACCCTGTCTCTACTAAAAATAAAAATAAAAAATTAGCCGGGTGTGGTGGCACACGGCTGTAATCCCAGCTACTCAGGAGGCTGAATCAAGAGAATTGTTTGAACCCAGGAGGTGGTGGTTGCAGTGAGCCAAGATCACGCCACTGCACTCCAGTCTGAGCAACAAAGCAAGAAGCCATCTCAAAACAAAAAAGAATTTTGACTGAAGAAAAGCTCTAGGAACAAGGCCCTTGTCTCCAACATTGTAGTTACTCTTCTAAAATGCTCACAAATTTTTAAAAATTGTTTTAATCATCTAAAATTTGATTTCACTGTATTTGAGCCTCTAACTTTCACATTTAATTTAATCTAAAATGCCATAACTTTTGAGTTCACATTTTATAGACAGAATGGTTTTCCTGAGTTCTTCTGGGTTTTCTCCCATCTTAGTGACTGCAAGTTTGTCAGTTGTGGGAACTATGTTTTATATCTGCTTTGATTTTCCCAGTACAGTACATGAACTAGAGATGATATGGCAATAAATTTTCCTCTGAATACACACTGAATGAGGTAAAGGCAATTCCCAAATGCAGTAAGCCACTTTCTTTTTCCAAAAAATACCATAATAGATTGTTCAGCAGAACAACCCCAAACATAAATACCTGCAGGTGCTGCTTTTTTGCATCACTTCTGCCCTGTGATAGCCAGAGAGCTTGCAAAATCCATCATTGCTGTACACAATAGGCCAGTCCACTATCTGAGCATTCCCCAACACAAAATTAGTATCTGTTAAAAAAAAAAAAAAAAAGGGAAAAAAGGGCACATGAAGCAACACATTAGTTGAGATTCAATGAGGACATAAATAATGTCAAGCAATCCAGATATTTCTGTTTCCCTCCAAAACACAGACTTTTGAACAGGAATGTGGCCCTGTAAGGAATACAAAACAACATTGTTTTAGAAGTGAATATTTTGAATGCAAGTGCTAACTTAGGTCACTGTACTCCAAAAACAAGTTAGAAAAGAAAGCGTACCTAACCAAACCAACGAATCCTGCAGAAATCCAGTGGATTCCCATGAGACATATTTAAGTCCTAATTTTTCATCCCAGTGAAGGTATACCAATAATACAGAGCAAGAGAGAGCCCAAAAGTAATTTATTCTGAGCTCTGTCCAGCATCTTAGCCTTTTCAGTCTTTTGGCCAGAAGCTAAAAATTTGCCTTCTTGACCCTAACTAGGATTTGCCCAACCTAGGGGGCATCTCAGGAAGGTACAGGAAGGAGGCTGAGCACTGCCTCATGGACACACATACCACCATGGAACCCTTCCCTTGGTAAAGAATAGTAACTAGACTCTCTTAATACTAGAGCTTTTAGAGGCTGATCAAGATGCCCACACAACAGGACCTTCTTGCTAATTTTGAAATTCTTGCTGATTTTGAAATGCAGCCACAGAGCTGTCTGTGTTTGGCTAGTTTAGTGTATTCTTACTACTTCCCACATTTTTGAAAATCAGTCGTCAATACTTTTTATGCTGAGGAAATCAACTGTGCTTCCTTTCTTTTCAAGCATTTCAATTAAGCAAATAACATCCAGAACTTAAATGTAATCATTATTTAAGTTTGGCCCTTCCTTTCCACAGAAGACCCATGCACTTCCCCACCCTCCAAAAAAAGAAAGAATACAAACATCCTTCTTTAGTTGTAAACTGGAGAGGGTATTGTGTATGTATGTGCGTGTCTGTAGATACACATACTACATAGAGTGAAATAAGAGTGATATATTATATCATGATTTAATTGAAAGCATTTACAGTTTTTTCACAATATGGGTAGCCAACCCTTCAGATAGGCTTCTGCACTCTTCTTAGATGAGTTTATACTTGATTTGGCAGGCTTAGGAAAATGATTCCACTTCACACAGACACCACTGAAGACAAAAGACTTGGAAGAAGACAGGGTCTGAGGAGCTAAGGGTTGTGGTGAGCCATGATCTTACAGAGGAGGGTGAAGGAGGAGGAATTACTAAACATGGCAATCTATTATTGAGAATGCTTTGATCTATTTAAAAGGAACAGAAAACACAATATTTATGAGGTGAATCTATAAAGCTACTATTTTTATAAATATGCTTTTAATGAAAATCTACAACCAGTCCTTCCCTCCCTCTGTCCCATATATACATAAATTGCTCTTGAGTGTCAACAGGTGCCAAGCACAATGCAAGATCCTGGGGGTCTCCAGATTGATAAGAAACGGTCCCTGCGCTCAAGGAACTTAGGAAGACAAATAGATATGTCCACAACTAACTAAAGAAACAGGTAAGAAAACAATGAACTCTGAGAGAGGTAAAGGGCTGTATCTTAGAGGGGATAATATTTGAATTTGCTCTAGTCTAAAAGGATGAGTAAGATTTATTTAAACTTTTTGAATGCCTAATATGTAACTGGCACAGATAATACAAAAACAATAGATATAGAAATTAAAATATGATCACTGTCTTCACGAACTCAAGAGGGTGTGAGAGGAAGAGAACATTCCAGGCAGAGGATCCAGTGTGGGCAAAGGCATGGCAGCATGGAACACAGCGCAGTCTAGGGTAGACAAAAGGCAGCCAGGAAGAGTGGCAGGATAAGTAACTGGAGACTAGACTGGGAAGGGTCTTGAATGAATAAAGTCAGAGAGCTTTGATTTTATCCTAGGGGCAGAATAATCCTTCATATTGGTCTTCTCTCCCTGAATAAACTCAATTTCCTGAACTGAATAGCTTAGACTTAAAAGTAGTACAGTATTTACTAAATTCCTCCCAAGTGTACATGAAGCCTAGTCAGTTTGACTCTCTCTTTTGTTAAATCCTGAAATAGTAGTTAATTTCCCTCAAAATACCTAGAGCAGGAGGAAAAACTGAGTATTCTTTATCATGGCTAATGCTCCACTGAGATTATCTATGCAGAAAGAGGGAAGAATAGCCAGTTATAGATAACGGATTGACCACATGTGTTTATTTTCTTTTGTATACCAGACCCCAGTAAAATAAAAGTAAACAAATTAAAAATGTAAAAATCCACAAAAATGAAAATTACGTAAAAAAAGAATGAACAACAAAAATAAAATATCTGGGGAAGAAGGTGCAATATTATAGGAAACAGAGAAGAACTTAAAAAAAAAAAACTAATTGGTATCCTTAGAGAGATTCAAGAAGTATTACATCCACAAAACAAAAACAGAATGCTATGTGGAAAAAATAATAAGGGAACAAGAACTCTTGTAAATTAAAAATGAATAGCAATTAAATATTGAACATGAATTTTAGAAGATACAATCTAACAGAAAGTAATACAGAAAGAGAAAGAGACAAGAAACACGGAGAAGAAAAAAAAAAGACATGGAGGATCAGTCCAAGAGGAAAAAACATGCACCTGAAGAGGAACAGCAGAAAGAACAACTTGAGAAAAGGCCAGAAGACATTCTTTTTAAAATTAAAACAATCAAATGTGAGTGTACATTGAAGACATTTTCATATATGCAAAGATTAGGGGAAATTATTTACCACATGTTCTTTCTTTGGCAGTTACTTGAGTAAAATGAGGGAATAAAGCAAAAAGGAGGACAACATGGAAACCAGGAAAAAATAGCTCCAAATGTAGAAAGCAAGGAAGAGAGCTAGTAGACAGTATTCAACACGAAACAATTCAGAGACTAGAAGTTCCAAAAGAGAATTATCTACGGATAAAGGAGGTCAGGATTTGATGATATTCTTGATTATTTAGAACAACATTGTCAATAAGGGTATGGCAGGAAAGGGAATTAGAAACATCAAAGAAAACAAAAACCAAAATCTCATCGTCACATCATTGTAAGAATAAGGTAAGCACCTTATTAATTTCCAATTTTAAAACCAATACATAATAAAGGATGAAATATTTAATTATCATAAGTATCTGAATGTAATCTCATTGATTCTGACACTAAAAATACAGATGATAAAAGTTTAGGGAGAGAAAAGAGAACAATGATGAAGAGAATAAGAGATGGTGTGTACAGCTGATTAAAAAATGGTATAAATATTTTACTTAAAGTTGCAAAAATAAACAATAAGAGAGTAATATAATTATATTAGGAGGAGGGGTAGGGAGTAAGATTAAGTGAGCTAAAACCTCAACTAATTAACAGAAGTCAACAGATAATATCTAAAATGGAGAAATCTATAAATAGCTGTAATGCATGTTATTTAGAGACATGGCAGAAACTATAAGAAGAAAGCTAAAATTAGAAGACACGGCCTCTGGTGAGTAGGATGGGAGGAGGGACAAGGCATAGAATGGTTACTGACATTACATTACAAGCTCTTCTGCTTGATTTTTGTAAACATGAACTTACTGACTTTGATAAAAATAACTATGTACTTAATTTTAATTAATTTAATCTAAAAGATTAATTTATTGATCAAATTTTTTACTTACTGAAAAATGAGAGCAAGATAGATTTCAAGCTCCGGATATCACTGCAAGTGCTCACAAAAGTGTTCTGATCACCTTTTAAAGTTATTCATCCTTCTGGAAGCATACCCTCAGTCCCTGGTGTGCATATTACAGCCCCGTCTAAGAAAAACCAAGCCCACCGCCTCTGCCCAGCGGTCCCACCGTCTGGGAAGTGAGGGGCGCCTCTGCCCGGCCGCAGCCCTGTCTGGGAAGTGGGTGCCCTTCTGCCCGGCCACTGCACCTCTGGGAAGTGAGGAGCGCCTCTGCCCGGCTACCCCACTGTCTGGGAAGTGAGGAGCGCTTCTGCCGGCCCCCACCCATCTAGGAAGTGAGGAGCCCCTCTGCCTGGCCGCCCCACCGTCTGGGAAGTGAGGAGTCCCTCTGCCCAGCCGCCGCACTGTGTGGGAAGCAAGGAGCACCTCTGCCCAGCCTCGGCCCCGCCTGGGAAGTGAGGAGCCCCTCTGCCAGGCCGCCGCACCATCTGGGAAGTGAGAACGACCTCTCCCTGGCCGCCGCACTCACAGGGAAATGAGGAGCGCCTCTGCCCGGCCACCGCCCCGTCTGGGAAGTGAGGAGTCCCTCTGCCCGGACCCCACCACCGCCACCGTCTGGGAAGTGAGGAGCCCCTCTGCCCGGACCCCACCACCGCCACCGTCTGGGAAGTGAGGAGCCCCTCTGCCCGGCCGTCGTCGCACTGTCTGGGAAGCAAGAAGTTCCTCTGCCCCGCCGCTGTGCAACCCTCCAAGTATTAAGTAACAGCCTTGTGTGTGATCTTTCTGCCCTCCCCAAGTGTGCATTTTCGACATTAAAGTTTACTTTTTAATAAGAAGAAAAAAAAAGAAAAGCCCACTAGCATCTTCTCTGACTTTAGTAAGGGAAACAAAAAAATAGGAAGTGCATTAGGAATCAAATCATCCGCCTATCACCCACTCAGAAGATTCTCACCATAGAATTTAAAATTCCAAAATAGTTTCCTCTCACTGCTAACCCAAGCAAGCAATTATAGCTCTAGGGAGCAAGATTCCCTTGTCACTCCATGATAGAAGGTCTAGGAATTCCCTCTTTACCCAAGGAGTCAGAGAGAATGGAAGAAACATTTCTAGTCCCAGCCACAAAGCCGTTTGCCTCCAACAGTATAGAAATTCTTCCCCGATCCCTGCCCCGTTCCTAGCACGCACGTTCCCTTCTATTCTAAACCACAAATAATTGACCTGTAAATTACCTTCCAGAACACAATCTGTTTATAAGTTAGGGGCTACCCATACAAATGCCATAACACCACAAATATCATCAGGAACTAAGGGAT